TGCATATTTCGGGAAAAATTAAAGAAATCCCAAATCACATGTGAGTCATCTGGCTTCTTTCCTCACATCCACTCAGTCATCAACTCCAGTCTATTTTTTTCTTGCAACATCTTTCCGAATCAGTTCAATCACACTAAAATGCTCTTGAGCCCTCCAAAGTGGGTGGACATAAGTATGGAGGTGTACACAGCACATCTTCCTTTTTTCTTTTTTTCTTTCTTGTTCCTTTTCCTTTTTTCTTTTCTTTCTTTTCTCGTTCCTTCACTTCCCTCCCTTCCTTTCCTTCCTACCTGCCTCTTTCCTGCCCTCCATCCCTAATTCCCTTCTTCTCTCCCTCCCTCCTTTCCTACATTCCCTTTTGTTTTCACTGACTATAAACCCAAGGACTGGATCATAAGACAAGTGCTCTGTCACTTGAGCCATATCTTTTTGCTTTCATTTTTTGCATTTATTCCTGGTCAGTTCTGGACAGTGATCTTCCTATTTACAATTCCTCTGTAGCTGGAATGACATGCTCACATACATCCAGAACTTCCTGTTGAGATGGAGTGTTGCCAACTTTTGACCCAGACCGGCCTCAAACTGTGATCCTTCTGATCTCTACCTCCCAAGTAGCTAGGATTACAGATGTGAGCCACCATGCCTAGCCCACAGTACATCTTTCTCTCCTCTCCCCTCCACCTTTTTTTTGAATTACCATACATTTACAACACAGTACATTTGTTTTATGGGGGGGGGCAGTACTGAGGTTTGGACTTACGGCCTCATGTTAGCTCATGCTTGTTTGTCTGATGCAGTCCCACTTGAGCCACACTTCCAGCTCTGCTTTATGCTGGTTATTTGGGATGGAGTCTAATATAAACTTTTACTGCTCAGGCTGGCCTCAAATTGCAATCTTCTACATCTCAGCCTCTTAAGTAAGATTGCACATGTGAGCCATGGGAACCTAGCTCAACACAGCACATCTTTCAAATGGACCCCTGTACCCCATGATTCCCATGGAAGTTCAGTGGCTCCCCCACTAAAACAAGTGTCCTTTCTTGCTTCTCCTCCAGTGTCATTTCCCTCAGGTTGCACACTACCCAGGGCCTCCAAGAATAAGTAACATTTTTCTGTGTGGGTTGATTTTGCCAACATTGCTTCCTGCCTAGCCAGGCTCCTGGTTCTCTGCTCTTACAATCCCCCTACATGGGAAATCATGTCTCTACCTTCTCAAATCCCACCCTTTCTGAAGGTCTAGCTCAAGTCTGAGCTCTTCTGTACAACTACTAACCTTCATAGCTTCCTCTCTTCTGTTTGCCTATGGGCACTTACTGCTTGCAGTACATGGTCCATTATAAAGTCAGTATGTAATATATGACCACTTGCTGCTATTTTTTTCAGCCATGGGGCTTGAACTCAGGGCCTGGGGACTGTCCCTGAGCAATTCTGTTCAAGGTGAACGCTCTAGCACTTTGAGACACAGCTCCACCTCCTGTTTTCTGGTCATAACCTGGAGATAAGTCTCACAATACTTAGGTGCTGGTGGCTCACAGTTGTAATCCTAGCTACTCAGGAGGCTGAGATCTAATGGTCTCAGTTCAAAGCCAGCCCAGGTAGGAAAAGTTCATGAGACTCTTATTTACCATTTAAATACCTAAAAACTGGAAATAGAGCTGTACCTCAAAGAGGTAGAGTGCTTGCCTTGAGCAAAAGAGCTCAAGGACAGAGTCCAGGCCCTGAGTTTAAGCTCCTCAACTGCCAAAAAAAAACAAAAACCAAAAGTCAAATACCAAAAAATGTCTCACAGACTTTCCTGCCCAGCCTCCTGAGTAGCTAGGATTATAGGCATGAGCCAATAGTGCCTGGCTCACTTGCTTCTTCATAAATCCTCTGCACATAATTTCAAGGGTCCTGACCAGTCTTTTCCTGCTACCTTGGGAAGCACCCCATTTTTCTGTTGGCCAAGGACTCCCCTCAATCCCAATTAGAGGCACTAAGTTCAGCAGTGAAGGACATGGCCTCTCAGGCTGCTGGGGTTAGAAGACTAGTTTCTCCACTCTGTTTGAAGAAGAGTCTCAGCCTTACTGTGCCACAGCTTGGGTTGTTTGTAAAGATTAAATGAAAGATAAGCAAAGCACTTAGAAAATCGAAAGGCAGAGTAAACACTATATAAATGCTAGCTATTATTAAGACATGCCCAATGTGGGCTCTATTGAGTTACAGACTAAACTAAGTTGGTAACCTTATCAGTCTTCTGGCTTCAGATTTTTTTTAAATCTTATCAATCGCATTTATTTTCATAAATTTCTACTCTAAGGAAATTTACCATGTTGAAATCACCAGTGATCATTTAGTTTGTGTGACAATAGTTTTCAGGTGTTCTGTGTTCTTTTAAGAGAGTCTTTGTATATAACCCATATAGGCTTAAAACTCATCACCCTCTGCCTCTACATCCTGGAATTACAGGTGTCACCATACCCAGCACCGAATCATTTCTAAACACTTTAGAAGATCAGGACTGGAGCACTTCAAAATTAAGGAGTTCAGCTTCTTCATTTCACTAATAAAACTGCGGCACAGAGAGGAGAAAGTGACTAGCTCAGAGTCTTCCAGCAGAAAGCATCAGAAACACTGAAATTCAAATCAGAGTATCTAATAATATTGAATGCTTTCTCTACCATGCCTTTGAGACTTTGAATGGGGAGAGTTTCTACATTCTAAATAACCAAGTTACCAAAAACCACTGTGACAAAACTAAGTTAGGTGTTGACAGTATTGTCTCAAAGGCCAGCTATTGTTTCAGCTGTGTGGGGGTGAGAGGTTGTAGGAGGGAGGATGCTGGAGTGGCACATGGAGTAATGAAATGGGTAATGTTAGTTAAGTCTCTTCCTATTTGTCGACTGCAGTTTCCCCATATGTGTATGTAAATCATGTGTCACCAAAGAAACTAAAGGTGCTTTGGAGGCATGCACTGTGGTAATTCGCTAAGGTCCTAAGTACTTTCTCAGCTTGATTTAGCATTAAACAAAGCAAACATGTGAATAAGTATTGAAAGGTGATGGTGTAGTTCAGATGGCAGAGCACTTGCCTAGCTTAGTTCCATTCCCAGCAGCACAACAAAAACATTGGCTGACTGATGGCTCATGTCTGTAATCATAGCTACTCGGGCAGGAAGCTGAGATCTAAGGATTGAGGTTCAAAGCTAGCCTGGGTAGGAGAGTCCCTGAGACTCTTATTCCTAATTAACCACAAAAAGCCCGAAATGGAGCTTTGGCTCAAATGGTAGAACACTAGCCTTGAAAACACACAGACACACACAGACACACACAGACACACACAGACACACACACACACACACACACACACACACGTTCTGGGTTCAATCCCCAAGACCAGCCCAAAACAAAATATACGGATTTACAAACTACAAGCATAGGTCTCTACCACATGTCACCTTTTCAGAGACACTCTCCCACTCTTTTTACAATGACAAAGTCTCTTCCATATTTGGTGTCACAATGCAAGCATTTTACATTTTGTGTCTCTCTGTCAACAGCACATTCACTCCACAAGGCAGGGGCTTAGTCCCTTGGGCTCACAGAAACATCCCTAGCCCCCTAAAACATTGCCTGCCAGAGCTCAGTGTATATACATGCTGTTGATGGAATCAGTGGATGGCATGGAAATTTCTTAATTACATTTTAGACTTGATTTTCAAAACACAGTACTCTGGTCACAATGCAATAAGCAAACTGTTGGCCTATGTGATAATAAAATCTATAAGCTGGGTGTGGTGGTGCACACCTGTAATTCTAGCATTCTGGTGGCAGAGGCAGAATGATGTGAAGCTCCAAACCAGCAGGAACTACATAGCAAGATCTTAAGCTCAAAAAGTCAAATATTGATGGTGAAGAGGATTCTCTCTCTGTCTCTCTCTGTCTCTGTCTGTCTGTCTGTCTGTCTGTCTCTCTCTCTCTCTATATATATATCATAATGAAACTTTCCAGTGTTTGTTAAAGGGGAGAGAAGAGAGGGGGATGGGAACATAATGGATGGGGTGAACTTGTTCCTAATACACTATACACATGTATGGAATTATCCCAATGCAACCCTTCGTAGTATTCATGTATGATGAATTAAAAAATAAATAATAACTACTTAAAATGCAATCAGTCAATAAATATAATTTATAAAACACGGAGCTACCACTATAATCCAAAATGCCCAGAGGCCACGCGTGTCAGGCACAGCCCATGAAGACATTATTAACGTTCAATTTTCCCAGCAAGTCAGCCAAGTGGATTAATTCAAAGTTGCTGCACAAGAGTGTGGTGAATACAGAAACTTCCTGAACTATCTTTGCATTTCCCATAGAGTTGAGATTATTCTAAAATATAAAGTTTATTAAAGGATTGCGGGGGGGGGGGCACCTGCCAGAATGCTGCGTGGGGTTTTCGCTGTGGACGTGGAGAAACTGCAGATATTCTCACATCGTGTTTCTACAGGGGCGGGACCTTCCGAGGTTCTGTTCCACATCCACTGCTAAACTCCCGAGAAACCATCTTTGCGACCCAGAAAGTTCCCAGCTTGCCTGAGCTGGGATCCTGGCCCGTGTTGGTCTGTCATTCTCTTCCCCCTATCATCTGAAGCTCACAAGCAAAGTCACCCACATATTTTAGTCCCGCCCCCAGGCGCCTGCCCCCTCTCCCCCGGGTTCTTCCCAACTGCGCACGGGAAGTGAGGATCCGGCAATTCGCTGTCCTCGGACTCCGCCAGCGCGCTTGGGAAAACCCCGCCGCCGCTCCCGGGTCCCTCACGTCCAGTGCTAAATAAAGCCTGACAGGCTGAGATGGCCGAATTCTACAGAGGGTCTCGAGGCCAACTCCCAAGCACTCGTCGCGTCGCATCCCGTCGTACCGCTCGACCCCGGGGGTCCTCCTTCGCGGGCCTTTCGGTTGCGACCACCTCCCTCAATTCCCCCCGGCCGCCACTGGCGACCCGGAGTCACACGCACTCACCTGAGAGCTCGGCGTTTGCGCAGAGCAGCAGTGCCCACAGTCCGCAGAGCCGTACCGGCCGCTCCATGCAGCCCCTCGCCTCGCCTCGCGTCGCCGCGGAGGCCGGCCTGGCCCAGCCTGAGGAGTCTCCGCCTCCACCGCTCGGTTCAGCTCCTCGCCTTTCCTCTCGCCTCCCGCTCCCACTTCCCGGCTCCGCCGCCCGGGAGGCTTAGGGGGCGGTGCAGACGGGAAAGACGCCCCGCCCACGGCCGCAGGTTACCTGAGCCGTGCAGCGCAGGCGCTGGGGGGCGGGGCGCCGCGGATGCCACACCTGGCACAGCCCTGCCGCCCTGCACCTGCCTGCCCCGAGTCCCTTCTCGGACCAAACACAATTTCCTCAACCACATCGCAGCCCAGCTCCACAGCCTCCCCAGCTGCTGCCCTCCTTCCTTGCGGCCACCAGGCAACTATGTTGGAGACATGGTAGTGGGGCAGCGGACGAGCCCAAAGGCTGTGCCCTGGTGAACACCAGGGCTGGGTCATCTAGAGAAAGAACCTCAGCCTGGGACTCTGGAAACCTGGCTACCAGGCTTAGCCCTCTGAGCCTTTTGTTGTGTAAGCTCTGACTCAAAGGCAATTACTATAAGCAGTCCTACTTCATTAGGAGGACTTGAAAGGCCACAAAGGGGACGTGGCTCAGTGCTTTATAAAAAGGCCAAACTGTATATTTGAAACCTGTTCATATATCAAATTAAGTCAGATTTCTTTCTGTTTCTTGCTTGCTTGCTTTTTTTTTTTTTTTTTTTTTCAGATCCTGGAACTTTAACTCAGGCCCCAAATGCTGCACCTTAGCTTGTTTGCTCAAAGCTGACACTGGCTCTACCACTTTGAGCCACAGCTCCACTTCTGACTTTTTGGTAGGTAATTGGCGATAAGAGTCTCATGAACTTTCCTGCCTAAGCTGGATTTGAACTACGATCCTCAGAGCTCAGCCTCCTGAATAGCTAGGATTACAGGCATGAGCCACAACTGGTACCCAGCTTGAGTGAGCTTTTTAAAAGAGCATTCCAAGTATCATGCGACGTACCTGCATTTTTGAAAGCACACAACAGGATACACTCAGGAGACCACATATTCAGAACATGATATTGGGTGCCTGTGAGGGTCAGTGAGGTTGGGGAGGAAGGAAAATGACAATTATGAATTTCCTTCCTGATGGAACAAATCACTAGAAATCTTGCAACTTCAAATGGTTTGATTGTATTAGAACTCCCATGGTCAGATTTTTCACTGAGCTAAAACTAAGGTGTAGGCAAGGTTACAGTTCTGGGAATTCTATGGGAGAATCTGTTTCCCATATTTTTCAGCTTCTAGACACAGCCACATTCTTGTTGCTGTGTGGCCAGACCCCTGAGTATTCCCCTTTCACATGTCTTTCTTTGGCTCTGACCCGCCTGTCTTGATTTCCCCTTAGAAAGAAGACCCCTTAGGGTCTAGCTTGGTGGTACAAGCCTGTAATCCCAGCACACAGGAGGGTGAAGCATGAGGGTTTGGAGTTCAAGGCCAGCCTCGGCTACATAGCAAGACCCAGCCTCAAAAAAATCCAAAAGGAAAAATCCGGAATGATTTCAACCTTGTGATTATGCTGAGCCTACCAAATGATCCACAATAATCTCTTTCATCTCAGAAGATTTGATTGAGTCATATTTACAAAGTCATTTTTGCTATGTCAGGTACCACTTCCTTGTTACCTTAGTAGGTTGGGGATTAAGACATAATTGAAACAAGCATATCTTCTGTCACTCTTCTGAAAAAGCCAAGTCAGGATGAATGATGACTAATGAAGGTGTCTACTATTCAAATTAAGCCTATATGTACACCTGAAACAAGTTGTAAAAATAAATAGAGCAATAAGGGTTAAGAGTGTACCTTAGTGGTAGAATACTTGTGGAGAGCACATGTATACACGCTAGTGTGCACACACATGCATGCACACATAAACACACACACACAATAATAAAAAGCCTTATATCTAGTCTTGACCTTACCCAGAGGCCACTGCAATGTTTAACGTAGCCAAACAAAGACTATGCTCTTGGAATGAAAGTCCTCAGGTTCAATAAATATTTATAAAGACCTTCCAGTAAATGTGGAAGACAGTTTTTAAATACAAACTCTGGCTGGGGAGGAAGGTATGTCTTTCAGGGATAGAGTATGTGCTTAGCATGCTAGGATCCGGGTTCCATTCCCAGCACCCTCAAAAAACAACAGCAACAACAACAACTATGGAAGGGGCAACAAAGGGTTCTAGAAGGAAAGCCTACTTGCACTGAATCTTGGGATAGTGATTGCAGTTAAAGGTTCAGTATAAATCCTTTCAGTAATATATGTGTGTGTATACATGTATATATGGGACTGAATAAAATGTTTATGAGAACAACCATCATAGTTTGTAGAATTAGATACATTACTATTAGGGGTTGTTTTTTTTTGTCAGTTGAATTGTGGGGCTTGAACTCTGGGCTTGGGCGTTGCCCCTCAGCTCTTCAGCTGAAGGCTAGTGTTCTACCAATTGATCCACAGTGCCACTTCTGGCTTTCTGGTGGTTAATGGAGATAAGAGTCTCACAGACTTTTCTGCCCAGGCTGGCTTTGAACCCTGATCCTCAGATCTCAGCCTCCTGAGTAGTTAGGGGCTACAGACATGAGCCACTGGTGCCCGGCTACTATTAGTTTTTAAATCCCTCTGTAAATAGGTCACTACTCTCTTCTCCAAGGCCTCCCTGCCCCCCCTAAACCTCAGACCTATACTTGTTGACATTTGCTATAAACATTATCCAATAAGTTTGTAATAACATTTCTAAAATGTTATGTCATCTGCCTTAAAAGGAGTCTCCAGTTAGAAAGGAACCCCTGAGGACTGGCTGACTGCTATGATGGGCACTGCCTGGCATAGGAGCAAGCAAGCGTTTAATATAACATGGCCTATAATGGCAGTACATGTGAAACTGAGAGTTGTGATATATCAGGAGCCCTGAGAACTCAAATAGTGGAAGGAAGAAAACAAATGTGTGGTGAGGGACCTGCTTTCCTTTCACCAAGCTAATTCTGGCCTACTGTCCTTGAGTAAGACTATATAACCAGTTCTCTTTCTTTCTGACCCTAAAGATCCAACACCAATTTTTTAAGGTGAAGTTTTAAGGGAGACAGGAAGGTTAAGAATTCTGTTTCTGTGTCATAAAACCATTATGTGTACTCTTTGTGTACTTTTGTGCAAATATGCAGTTTGAATTTGGCCACTGCCCCTGGTCAACAAGATGAAGACAGATGGAAAGCTTTCCAGGAACTGCAGTAAACAAACAAGTCACAGTTTGGCTTTGAGTAATCAAAATCTTAAGACAACAGCAAGGTTAACCCTTTGGTGCCCTGCTGATTTGAGCATGAGACTACCTGTGACTTCTTGCAAAGTTTGGCGATTGATGGCAGAAGTTCTGGGCTGATCCATGAATCTATGCCATTTTTTTAGCTGTTCTAATCCTCATATTTCTCATGGAGGCTTCCCCCTTTTCTATAAATAATGGTGGAAAGGTACAAAGACAAGATATTTGACAGGAAAGAAAGCTTCTACTCTTTCCAAAACTCAGGTATCCCTCTAGACAGTAAGAAATATCCTCAGGAGTTCAAAGGACACGGGTTACAGTTGCTAGGGCTTGGCAGTTCCAACTAGCAGTTTCTGAGGGTAATGAATGAAGAAAAGACTATGCAGTGAATTATAATTATTTTATCTTTGGGGAGAAATGATTTTTTTTGCTGGTCCTAGGGCTTGGGCTTTGTCCCTGACCCTCTCTGTGCTCAACACTAACACTCTACTATTGAGCAGCAGTGCCACTTCCAGCGTATTCTGTTTATGTGGTACTGAGGAATCGAACCCAGGGCTTCATGCATGCTAGGCAAGCACTATACCATGAAGCCATATTCCCAGCCCTGGGAGGAATGAATTTTGACTAACAGAAAAGGTAAAACTGCCCATATCACCTCTCAACCTCTGCTTTTTATAGGCGCAGATTGCAGGGAGGTAAGGGTAGCTTCAACGGAGTTACAGGAAAATTAACAAAAATGGCACATTCTAAGAAGTAGAGAACAAGGAATCAGGGAAGTACTGAGGTGGGCCATTAGATCAAGGATGGCAGGAATCACTAAGATAAGTAAATACAGGATTCTTCCTGTCTTTTTACAGGATTGCTGCAGAAAGTCAAACACTGACACACAATCTGTGTTTTCTACTGGTAGCATTCAAACACCAGTCACAGCCCCCACAGGGCTCTTGAGTTCTCACAATGGCTCAAGTGTTAGAATACCTGCTTCACAAGTGCAAGACTCTGAGTTCAAACCCTGTCAAGAAGAAAAAAAGGAAGGACACAGACACCAACATACTCTATGAGTTTGGCTGATAAAGCTGGTTCTCTCAGGGGGGAAAAAATCTCACAAAGGATCTTTCACCTTCTATTAACCAAAATTCAAATTCATTCCCACTGCAATGAATGAAAAGGAAAAGGGGCTGGAAGTCCTCCTGACTTTAGTAATGCCTTCCAGCCAGAGTGACTGTTCTGCCTAGGGACTTTTCTGGTTGTTATGACTAGCGGGAGAGAGGTGCTCCTGCTATGTAGTGAGTGGAGGCCAGGGATGTTGCTAAGCATCTGAAATGCACAAAGTCAGCCCCACAGCAAAGATGCGCGCGCGCACGTGTGTGTGTGTGTGTGTATGTGTGTGTGTGTGTGTGTGTACTTGAACTTAGGACCTAGGTGCTGTCCCTTAATTTTATTTTTTGCTCATCCTGGGGCTTGAACTCTGGGCATGGCCACTGTCCCTGAGCTTCTTTTTGCTGAAAGTTAGTACTCTACCATTGAGCCACAGCATCACTTTTGGCTTTTTCTGTGATTAATTAGCGATGAGTCTCATAGACTTTCCTGCCTGAGCTGGCTTTGAACCATGATCCTCAGAGCTCAGCCTCCTGAGTAACTAGGATTATAGGCATGAGCAACTGGTGCCAGCTTTACTTCTGTTTTTATTTTTTGGTGGTCAATTGGAGATTAAAAACTCAGAACTGTGCCTAGCATATAGCACTTGCTTAATAAATACATTTTACTGAATAAATAAATAGTACTTTGTTAGGTATTGTGGATACCAACCGATGAATAAATGGA